CAGCATAGCAATGAAAAGAGACACCATATTTCCTAAAAATAGAGCCAAGGGGAAGTAAATACAGTGGAAAAAAAAGCAGAGGCCCCAAAATTGAGCCCTGTGGGACCCCAGATAACAAAGGGGTTGTCACAGATTCAGCATCTGCCAACCCGACAGACACTGAGCTACCCGATAAATATGACTTAAACCACGCTAGGGCAGCACCACGAATACCCACCAAGTCCTGAAGCCAAGATATTAAAATGTCATGGTCAACCATGTCAAAGGCAGCAGTCAAGTCCAACAGGACAAGAATCACGTATTCACCCGCATCAGTGGCCAAATAAATATCATTAACAACCTTCAATAAGGCTGACTCTGTACTATGCAGAGGTTTATAACCAGATTGAAAAACCTCCAATAAGTTATTCTCATCTAGGAAGGATTTCACCTGCACATAGACTACTTTTTCCAAAATCTTCGAAATAAAAGGCAACTTTGAAAAAGGCCTGAAATTACTCAATATGGATTGATCCAGACCTGGCTTCTTAAGCAGAGGTTGCAAAACTGTATGCTTGAAATTACCAGGGACAATACCAGAGGACAAACTACTGTTAACAATATCCAAAACCGTTCTTCCAATACAAGGGAAGACTTCCTTGAATAGAGCCGGAGAAACAACATCTCGAGGGGTGCCAGATGGCTTAGCCTGGGCAACCACTCCCTCCAAAAAAAGTCAGAGTTTCCGGCTCAAAAGCATCAAAACTAGCCAAACAAGTAGACCAAAGGATCGGGCATTGACCCTAAACCAGGGGCCCTTGTAGCAGCAACCTGCCATGTGAATTATTTCAAGAAGACCCTCATCCTCCAGGTGTGTTGAGCACCCGTGGAATCTGACTGTCACAGTGGCTCTGTGTGCCTTTACAATGTTCTTCTGTAAGGCAACAACTAAACAAGATAGGATTGAGAGAACATGAAAAGAAAAATGTGCAAAAAAGAAATATGCATTAGGAAAATAAAAATGAAGTACTTATAAAATATATGTTTATGTGCAGACAGTAATTGTGTACTGTTTGTCAGAGATTTGGACTTTAATTGTCCCTTCTCCAAGGTGGTTCTGTAGGCTGGTCTGTGCACTTTTGGGGCACCAGGAGCCTCCAATGCATGCGTAAACACGCCCCAGTATAGACATGAGCCTTGTGCAAGATGCTATGCACTGCACACACTACACTTTGGTCTGTGTCACTGTGTATATGACACGAACCATTGCACATGTACAAACCCCATTTCCAGAAAAGTTGGGACATTGGTATGAAGAAATGTATGAAGAAAGGTTTCCAGTATTTTCACTGACCAACTTAATTTGCATGTATTTTGTAAATATAAAGAAATTTAGAATATGATAACTTGCAACACACTCAAAAAAGTTTAGACGGAGGCTAAATAAGAATTCTAGTAACAGTTCTAGTATTTTGGAAGATTCTAAAATTAGCAGGTTAATTGGTAACAGGTGATGGTATCATAACTGGGTATGAAAGGAGCATCCACCAAAAGCTCAATCTTTGTAGTGGCCATGGCTCACCATTTTGTGCCAAACTTCATTAGAGAATTCTCAGTCAGTTTAAAAAGAATATTTCCAAACACCTGATTGCAAACAGCTTAGGTCGTTCACCATCAACAGTACATAATATGAGCCCTCAGGAGGCATTGCATTATGCAAAAAATCGTAATGAATATGGCAACTTTGAGTGGCGCTACCTGCCCTGGATTAGGGAAGCCGGGGCACCCTGCTTGACCCAGACCTGGGAGGAGAGCTCACCATTCAGCATCTGGTGGTCAGGCCTTCACCCATGGGCCCAATAGGGCACAGCCCAAAGGAATGACATGGCCCAAAGGAATGACATGGTGCCACCGACCTATGTACCAACCACCTGCATTGCGGTCAAGTGCAGTGCGAGTCGGGTGGTTGGGTTCCTGAGCGTGTTGATCCCTGGCTGTGTAGGCTAGCTCTAGGAACATGGAATGTCGCCTCTCTGGTGGGGAAGGAGTGGGAGTTTTGCAGGAGGGGGAGCAATACCAACTAGAAATAATTGTGCTTACTTCCACACAGAGTTCTGGCTCTGGAGCCAAACTCCTGGAGAGGGGTTGGGCTCTATCCTTTTCCAGAGTTGCCCAGGCTGAGAGGCACCAGGTGGGTGTGGAGGTACTCACAAATCCCAGGCTGAGCACTGCTGTGTTGGAGTTCTCCTTGTGGAAGCAGAGGGTTGCCTCTATGCGACTTAAAGTTGCTGAGATGAAAGTCCTGACTGTTCATGTGTGCCTATGCGTCAAACAGTAATTCAGAGTATATTCCTTTCTTGGAGACCCTGGGCGGGGGCCTTGAAGGGGCACCACCTGAGGACTCCATAGTTCTGCTGGGGGACTTCAACACTCACATAGACAATGATGGAGAAACCTGGAAAGGGGTGACTGGGAGGAATGGCCTGCCCGATCTGAACCTGAATGATGCTTTATTATTGGACTTTTGTGCTAGTCATGGACTGGCCATAACAAACCTGTACCCTACTCGAACACCATGTTTGAGTACAGGGTTGTTCATAAGTGTACTTGGTACCAGAACACCTTAGGCCTTAGATCAATGATCGAACCAGGCTTGCTTTACACCACGAGAGGATGAGCCAAAGTGATGCTACACCTGAACACAAGAGACATACAGTATCTGGTCCTCACCTATCCATCTATGCAGATTTTGGGCAGAAGGAAGCACATCATAAGTTGTGTCTAGAATGACTCTAATCCTTCCTGCCTCCATGTCCCACATTTCCCTCCAACTAAGTTTCTTCCTTTCTACAGTTTCCCATCTCATCCCCTGTCCCTGCTGAGCCTGGGACACTACCTTCGCACATCTGCCTGCCTCTTCCTGCTTCCTAATTTCCTCAATAGCCATTTTCCTTCTATCAGCTGCTGCTGCTTTGCTCCAAGAAGACTGTGATGTGCTTAAACCAAAACCACCATGTCTATGCTGTACGTGCCCTACAATATTCCTGTGTTTAAGAGCTGCCTGAGCCTGAAACACTGCCTCCTGTGGGTTCCACTTCCTCCCTGCTGAGACTGTTGATGCTGCACTCTGCACCACTACATCCCTGGATTCTGACAACTTTATCTCCAATCTAGCCTTAGTGCATTTAAACCCCTCTGTTAAACTGGTTATAGGGAGCTCCAAAGTCCCTTTTCCATAGCCACTTCCAAATGTACCTACTAAACATTCTCTCTAGCTTCTCTGCCTTAGTAACTGGTAGACTGTACACTGTCAATGGCCATAACAATTGTGGCAAAAGACCAAACTGCAGGCACCACAGTTTGAGTTTGCCTTGGAGTCCTGACGCCTCTATGCTCTTAATACCATCAACTGCCTGCTGTCTCAAGCCCTGAATCTGCTCTTTATCACTAAGAGCTGCATCATACCACCTACCTAAACTTTTGACAGACTTCTCTAGCATTGTTGGAATTCGCTCATCATTTTTACAAAACCTTTTATCCCACAGCATATGTTTCACATTTGAACTGCTCCTTGATTCCTCTGGTTTCAGCTTCATTCTAGCCCCTTTAAGTTAGCATTCAGCTTGTCCAATAGCCTCTCAATACATGGTGCTGTGGTGGTGATACTTGTCATGTCATCCATGTACGCTCTAATGGGTGTTAACTGTTACCCTGATGGAAGTCTCGCTCATCCTGCAACCCATCTAATAATAACTTCCATTGCCATGGTAAACACTAGCAGTGAATTTGATGCCAGATCATGCTTGTGTACTCCATGTATTCAGAAAAACCTGGTATTCGAGCATTTTGCACTGAGGTGTCAGTGAGCTTATTCCTTTCTAGGTAGCTTGACAACCTTTGTGCCACTACACTGAATAAAATCCTGCCTTCTACAATTAGAAGTTAGATAGGCCTAAACTGCCCTACTTCAGCTGAATCTTGCTCTTTGGGGATAAAAATCCCTCATGCTTTTCTCCATGGCTTAGGAACAAGCTGCTTCTTCTATGCTACTCTGCTAAGCCTCCACAAAAACCTCAACACGTCTGGAGTACACTGTGTAATGTTCTAAAGAAATATAATTTATTAAACAAATACAAATAAAGATAACCAATAATCAAACAGACATGAGATGTGATGGTCAGTAGGATAAGTAGTGTAGGATGTGCAGGATGCAGGAGCGTTGTATGCTGCATAAAGTTAAAGAAAACTAAAGAACAAAGACCACATGCAGCACCCAGGCCCTGCAGGGAGAGAAAGCAGAGACAGGGAAATCAATGACATACTTATTAGACTGGGAACACCAGGCTCAGGTGCACCCAGTTAGTCATCACCCTGATCATCTGATATGATCACACAAATAACCGTAGCAGTGTATGATCTGCAAGCATATGCTTTATAATGAATGTCTGGCAACTGACAGAGGAGGAAATTATAAGGTCATTGTGCATTTATTCACCAAAACTGCCTTACTAAGTGTAATATTATAAATGTAAAATGAATTTTGTCACCCTGCTGGACATGACTTAACTACTGTGCTGTTGAATGCAGGGAGGAGGTGACTGTAGTGGCTAGGGTGAGCACTCTAACAAACTACATGACATAAGTATCAAACCTACTATGAAAAATAAAATGCATGGTTTCTTATTACTAAAATCATGCATCTCACTCACAAATAAGCACCTATGAAGGCATGTAGCAGACTCACAAACAGAAAGTCAGTCGTCAGCTCAGTGATATTTCATGGCAACTCCAAGGTCAGTGTGTCACAGTGCACTCCAGCAGGCAAATCACATGATAGTTCAATAGCTGAAAAACATGTTTTTTGTCCTTCCATTGCTTAGTTTCTTCTTACCAATTGCCAACATAAACACCAATACCAACTTATTAGCAAAGGGCAAAAGTTGGTTGATAAAACCAACCAAGCTGTAGTGAACTCACTTTCAAGTGGTTTTCCACTGTATAACTTTCTGCTTCCTTTTTAGGACAACCTCGGTCTCTGCAAGACTTGTGTCGAATAAAAATACGTCACTGCATTGGCCTTCAAAGCTTGAAATTCTTGGAGGATCTACCAATTGCAAAGGTTATGAAAGACTATTTAAAACATAAGTTTGACGGTGTGTGAAACGCAACAACAATAGAAAGGAGAGGGTAACTGAAAACTCTGCTATCATTTGTGACGACTATGCAATCACTATGCTCCTTGTTTGGAAGAAACGTTTGCAGGTCTGTACATGCCTTTGTTCTAAAATTCAGTGTTTTTATAGGTCAAACTGTTACTGAAGAATGTGAATGGATCCACCATATGTGAGCAAAAAAGAAACCTTATTTGGCTGCAGATAGTACATTTAGAATTTTTACCATTTATGTTGTTACTGTAAAAATGTACATGGTGTTATCCTTGTCGGTGTTCAAGATTAACAAATGGTTCTGTTAACTGGTGAATTTCAGCTAATATGTCTGGGGTTGCATCTAGTGACAACAGATGGCAAAGGTCACGTAGCTGTCCTCATGAATGCCGCTCTATGTAGTCATTAACCCTGTAAAGCCCAACATATCAAAAAATAGCCAGAACATTCTAATTTTTTGGAACTGAGATGTTTATTAAACCTTTTAACAAAATCCAAAATAAAATTCATGATTCGAAATTCAAGATTCATGATTTTTATTTGCTATATATGCATAGACAGTCCAGGCATATAGGAATAGAGGTGCCATATTATTTTGATTATTTCTATTTCTTTTGTATCACATTTGATACAGGGGGCATTTTTGGTGATTTTTTATTTTTTTTTTGCTCAGAAACCTCACGTATCAAATATGATACAAATGGTTTTATAGGATTAATTTATCAAAAATATGCATAGGCTATTTAGTCTTTGGAGCCTTGTTTCAGTAAATATGTACAAGAAATAGACCTACACCTTGTCCCTTTAATGTCCTTTGTATTTACAGAAGTTGCTCAAAATGCAAAAAGAAGTTGTCTTTTTCTGTTAGGGTTTCAAAGCAATCACTTTCTATCAAATCAGATAGTTTCTGGGATCTCATTGGAGTAATGCCGCATCACCCACAACCATTCGATTGCATTTTCATGATAAAAAAAAAAAAACAACAAAAAAATCATATAGCAATCGAAACTACGAATAGTAGGCTCTAGATTCAGTGAACCACTTTTGTGTCAAAAAATATTCCCCTGTCAAGATGTTCTTCCTGTTAAAAAACTCAGTTTCAGTGACAAATAGTCAGAGCGGCATTCAGGACAGCTACTGATCCTCTTCTTGTTTTCAACAGCTGCTGTATCTACGAGCAACCACTGATGCATTTGGCTGAAAATCACCAGTTAACAGGGCCGCTCGTTCATCTTGAACACCGGGTCATATTGTCATAAAGTACATACATGCCAATGAGTATGTTTTAATTTATTTCTCCCATCTTTTTTGCTGAGGTTTTTTTCTAATTCAGTTTTGAGCTATATAAAATATATACATACTGTTAGTTATACTGCTACAGTATATACCAATTGCTTTGAAAAACCTCTATGACATACACTCCCTGATTTTGTTTAATCACCCAAATAGTATTTGTGTTGTGCCTACTGACCAATATTTCCAACAGTTAAACACTCTGCCAATTAGAGCTTTGTTGGTGAAATAAGCAATGAGGATATCTTTTTCCTACATACATAGCTATGTAGAAAATGTTACTCTGTACAGTTTTACTTTGAACAGAGAACAGGAAGAAAAAATATTGAACTACAGCTGGCTGGGAGATGTGGACAGTGTGATCTGTTAGATTAATATCTATCACAGTGCATTCTACAGTAGCTATAGCATGTAAAATGCTACTGTAATAATATCAAAACAAGCTGACCAGCCAAAACTTCTGAACTGCCAGAAATCCATCTGTTCATCCAACAGTCAGTGGATGAACTAAAAGACTGAATTCTCATTTCATTTCAATTAGTACAACATCTTGTCAGCCCAGCTCACTGCTGATGCTTTGGAATGGAACTTAATTTTAAAATATCAACCTTAAACTGAGAACCAACAACTTGAGGTTGCTTCTGCGTGCTGTAACAAAATTGGAGTGTATCTTTAAAAAATAATACACATTGGATTTACTCTAATATTTTTTAACATAGGTGTTTTATGGTATGCAAGAGTAACTTGCACAGACAGTTTTATTTCATCATGACAAAAGCAAGACTGTAACGTACTTGGAATGATAACGGAACTTCGGTTCAGTTAGCTTAGAAATGATTTGATACTACTGGCTGAATAACGTTGCTTTTTCCATTTCTACACTGCGCTGTATGTGGTACAGTTGAGTTTAGTGAATGGAATGTGATGTAATTTTGCTCTGAAAGCACCATGTTAAAGGAGTGATTGATGAAAATATGAATAATAAAGTCTGTTTTGGATAACAATGGCACACAAACACTAGAAGCTATGTAAATGTGTTGTATGAACAACACATTTTTGTTGCATATATTTAAGCAATAATTTATTGTATTTAAAACATTGAAATTGTTGTGATTTCTTTGGTGTAAGTATTTCGGATGTGTGCGTGTGTGCGTGTGTGTGTGTGTGTGTGTGTGTGTGTACCTGCATGTGCGTGTTTTTCGGAGCTCAAATACTCTGTTGTACAAGAATAATTTGGAATTCAGTGTTTGCTTAGATTTCCATGGCAGAAATGTTAGATGATTTCTTCAAATTCATCATATCATCAGGTAACACTGTTGTAGAGATTATATTGTGAATTTTTCATTTTGACAATTAAAGATAAAATATAGGATTTGGGGTGTGAATAATATGCAAGAATATTGCCACCCTGAGGAAAAAATGCTCAGTATCTCATTATAACAAGAAAGGTTTCTTATTATCACAAGATACTTTTGTTATCTTTACAAGATATTTTAGACATTAAAATGCGATATTTTTCTTGTTATCATGACACACTGTATTTTCTCACGGACCTGCTGCTTCCTGTCCATCAGAAAGCTGGTGATCCATTGACAAGTGGGGGCAGGTACAGTGAGCTGGATGAGTTTATAGAGCGAAGGATGTCTGGAATGATGGTGTTGAACGCTGAGCTGAAGTCCACAAAGTGGACCCTTGCATAGCTCCCTGGGGAGTCAAGGTGTTACAGGATGTAATGTAATGCCATGTTGACTGCATCATTCACTGACCTGTTTGCCCGGTAGGTAAACTGCAGGGGGTCTAGGTGGGCCAACATCAGTTTCTCAAAGGACTTCATAACTACAGATATCAGGGCGACGGGTCTGTAGTCATTCAGTCCACTGATGGAGAGTTTCAAGGGAACTGGGATGATGGTGGGGCATTTGAAGCAGGAGGGGACTTCACCCAGCTCCAGCTATCTGTTGAAGGTAAGTGTAAAGATGGGGGCCAGCTGATCAGCACAGGCCTCCAGGCAGGTAGGGGAGCAGCTGAGCAGAGGTAATAATATAGC